GACAACCAAATGTTGAAGTTTGCAAGGCATAAAAACATAGACATGTGATCACTGAACACAAGACAATCACAACGTAGCACTGGCCCAATAAGGCAAGTGATAGTTCTCAGTAAATAATGTAAATCACGAAAACCAGATGTTTTTACAAAAATTAGGAAGACAAAAAAAAAAGATATTAGGGTGAGTAAATCATTACAAAATGTTCATTTTTGTGTGAATCAAAATGTTAATATCAAACTAGTTTACCCACATATCAGAAAATACCAATCCTTTTACAATGAGAAAAGGATCCCTCAAATAACAACAAAAAAAGTGATGAATGGAAATTATGAAGCATTAAGCACAATCATATTAAACCATATTAAACATATTCAACATATTATTCTAAGTCTCAAATATCCATTTTAATAAAAGGTGGATGTAATATCACTTAAGATTCAATCACATACTCAACTCTAAAACTAAATAATCAGATGTCTCATGACTGCTGGTTTGTATGTCTGTAAGCAGTTAAACACACTCATGTCAGCACTGAAGTCGCCTACTTTGCTGTACGTAGAGGAAGTGAAACCTGTACAAACATAGAGCCAAACCCTTATACAACAAATAACTCATCACCAGCCACCTACGGTCGCTCCTTATCGATTTATCATACGGTGTTCTTCTGGGTCATTAAAAAAAAAGTCAAAGTACAAAATAGTGATGCATGCTGACATCATTGCTGTTGTTAGGTCGGGACTGTTTCATCCGGTGTGAATCACAGCAGACTAAGTTTAAGTGTCTCGCTCAAGGGTTCAACGATGACGGGGCAGGGAGCTCTGGGGTCACTCCAAACTGGGACATGTGCATTTAAAGAAATAGTTCACCCAAAACACGAAAGCAGTATATTCCAAGATATTTTGAACTAAGGTATTGCATGAAGAACAGACAGGAAAGCAACTACTTACAATGTGATTTTAAATTTATGCATTTGGAAGATGCTTTTATCCAAAGCAAATTATGTTGCATTTAAAACATTCCCTGGGACTAGAACCCATGACCTTGGAGTTGCTATCGCCACGCCCAATATACACCCAAGTTACCAAACTAAATACAACCTATTACAGATTATTCACCATCAGGCTACAACTGTGTCCCAGACGTAGAAAACAAGCATTCTTTCTGTAAGGCTGTTCCTGCCATGACCTTTGACAAGTGACACCAAAGGTTATTTTAGGGACCAAATGGGAAGTCACACCAGATCTGCCCAACCTCACAGTTGATGAACACATCCTAAGCAAGCAAATGCACTGTTTCTGCCATAATTTGTGTGATTTATGGAACTACATACAATTAAGGGCATGCAAGAGTCTTGATTAAGGGCACAATGATGAAGATAGGTCGTGGATTAAACCTAAAGCCTTTCAGACGCCAGCCCAGATTCTCAAACAACTATATGACGATACCCTTAGAAGTTTTGTAGAAAGTAGTATGACACAACTGGGACAGTTCATCGATCACTCAATTCAGGGTTTGAACCTACAATCTCCAGTCATTAGCCCAGCTTGTAATGGAACAAGCTTTCAGTTACCAGTCTATATCTTTAACTACAATTTCACAAAGCACAAAAAAAAGTGAATTTGTAAATATTAATTAAAAGCACAACGCTGGTAGCATACGAACAGGGTTTGAACCTACATCCTTTCAGCTACCAGGCTACTAGATATTTAACCACTAAGCCACTACACCCATTAAAGTGATTTTATTAAAACAGATTAAACACACAGTGCTAATCATTAAGGCAAGTAACCACAGGTGATCACCATACTTCTCTAGTTAATTTATTACAGTACATTAAGACAATTGTTTTGAATCACAAGTTTTCTGGAATTATGTTTAAATATTACGAATTAAATATGCACTAGTTCCAGTTCAAAATTCTTGTTTCATTTTGTTGATATTTTACATATTGGAGTTTTTAATCACGCCATAAATCAGAAAACGTTGTGAACAGTATTTTCAAAATGCTTTTTTTTTTTTTAAACCCTCTGTAAAAACCTTCAGAGTATAGATAGGAATTCAACTGCAAGGTCTGATGTATGTAAGTGACACTGAGGTGGAGAAAAAAATTTATTTGGAGAAAATAGCCTATAAAGACATGTGCTGTAATTGAAAAATCCAGATGCAGATAGATGAAGTGTGATTAAATTAACACTTCAATGTAAATGTGGGGTGTTTTCTTTTCACTAGTCTGAAAGAAGACATGTTATGAAAGCAAAATAGCCCAAAATCTCCAAATTGACCAATGCCTGAAAAAACAATGTTCTGAAACCGTTAGTTAGTGCAGCAAAACCAAAGTGCAACAGGTGGAGAATCACAATACTGTTAATGTTAAACCGGAAGGCCATCATTCGATTATTTAACGATCGTGTAAACACATGAGTGAGGTGGTCTAGTGAAGTCATGACAGCTGCTGTTAAGCTACGCTAACACAAAAGGCTCAAAATACTCAACATACTCCCTCCAGAGCTCTCATAAAGGATATATCTGAAGCCTTACCCTTTCCTTCAAACGTCTCAAAGTCAGTTGGTCACAATAATGCGCGACTAAACATTATATTTTAGATAAATTCACCGGTCTGTGGTCTGTACGTCAGGCCGCGCACGGTGAGTGACAGCCGCGAGCCTTCTTGGCACGAGACATTCTAACGCACACGCCGACAGCCAATCAGAAACGAGCAACGCCATAGCGCTTAAATTTACCGTAAAGCTCTTGAATAAAGCGCAGAATAAACAACAAAAACCGCCGACCACAGAAGCGGAAGGAAAATTATGAAATCACCGTAAGTTTCTTGCACAAACCTCATCTAACTCCTCAGTTGACTTTTTGCAAGCCAGAGTAAGCTGCAAGTTAGAGGAAGACTAATATAGTCGTGTTTTCGTTGTAACCTTCTAGTTTTACAAATAAAGAAAGAACATAATAATAATAATGTTTTTAATTTTTTTCTTAACATTGATCAAAAAATACAAATGTAGGCTATTACTATTAATATTTAAAAAATGATAATAATAGGTCTACACATAAATACTTATAAATAGGCCTACATATTTTTTCATCACTTGTGCTTGTAAAGTGGATAAAAACGTTTTTTTTTTCTTCATTTTTTTAAGTTAATATTTTTCAGTGTAGTTTTTGACTGGTTGTTGCTGGGAAGATCTGAGGAAAAAGAAGAAAAGAAAAACCTTATTTGTAGATTTATTTAATGTGTTGTTTGCATATTCTAATACATCATTACATGTGTATTTATTTTTTCTTATTAATTCATTTATTTTTAAGTTTTTTTTCGTTATATGCACTTGTTTGTCACTTTAAGATGATTTTTATATTATATATTATATTATTATTGAGTTTGGTGAACACGTATCCAACTGATATTACTGCTCTGGTGCTCTGAGACAAACATTTTGACATAAATCAATATCAATGTCTGCTTATTTTCATATACATAAATGCATTTCCAGATCACGCATGTCTGTTCACTCTATATGACCAGAAGAGGTCGCAATTAACTAGTTTCTAGTCTTGCCAATAAAATTAAAAGACCAGCCACTGACCATTTGGGATGTTTGATAGCCTATACTTTTTAACGATTTTATTTTTATTTTTATTATTATGCTACAGTATAAATATGTGTTAATATGGTAGCACTTTAATGGTAATACGGTAGTCATTAACAAACATTATATTGATCAGATCAGCAGTGGATGTATTTTCCAACATGAATATTTAAAGGGGTGGTTCATTGCGATTTCACTTTTTTAACGTTAGTTAGTGAGTAATGTTGCTGTTTGAGCATAAACAATATCTGCAAAGTTACGAAGCTGAAAGTTCAATGCAAACGGAGATATCGTCTTTTAAAATTCTGGCAGTTTAATGCCTACAAAAACGGCTCGTAGGGACTACAACGAGTGCTGAGGTGAGGGGCAGGACGTTTAGACGCGGGCTAGAGGCGGTTTAGCCAATCACAACACACTGGGCTAACTAACCAATCAGAGCCCATCGCCTATTTCTGAGGGAGGGGCTTCATAAAAGAAGGAAATGATCAGCCCGTTTCTCAGAGAAGGGACAGAGCGGTGTGGAATAAAGGTAAATTATGTGAAAAAGAATGCGTTTTTAAAAAAACGAAGCGTTAACACATATTAGACTGCACCCCATAAACACAATCAAGCCTAGAAAAAACCCAGTGAACCACCTCTTTAAGGCAAAAATATCGGAATCAGAATTTAATGACGTTTGTATTTAAAATACATTTAACAACTATCTGTTAAGCACTATTATATCGGTTGTTACTGTTATTTCAGTCACAGCAGTAAAGTATTGAAAGTGGTTTAGCTTTGCATAATTAGTTACACCATTCATTGTTGCACAGTTATTTACTGCAGCTAATTCTCCTCCTGGATTGTGCCTCTTTGGATGACTGTTTGAGTAAATATACCATCCATAATGATGTCCAAACCTGGAGATTTTTCCCCTCCTGCCCCATTTACCAAACATTTGTTGATCAAACACTCACCTCCAGATTGATCTGTTCTTATATAATCTTCTATTATGTTATGAAACATAAGCCCTCGTAAGGATTAAAGATGATTGGGAGAAGGAAACTTTGCAGAAAATTGCAGGGAGAGGCACCACAGACTCCACCTGATCAGGTTTAAAGTGAACGAGTCGAACGTCTGCTTTAATCTGTGAATAATACTCATAGCTGTAATATTAGTGTTTTCACCTCACTGACATACTGTCTGAAGACTTAAATAACTTATACTCTTAATAATGTTTTACATAAGAATGCTCCGAATGAGTGAAAGATACAGATCTTATGAGAGTGTACTTTATTTCATATGTGTACATGAACATCACATATCAAATGAACATTAGTTTTTTATTATCAAAATAAACAACAAATACTAAAGAAATTATATAATTAGTTAATAAATAGGTACAAACAATAAATATATTATTACAGTGGGTTTTATTATATTATTCTATGTGCAATATATCTGTAGTGCACTCCACACCAGTGACATCAGTGTGAATTCTACCTGAAACAAAACAATTTATTTTATGACATAAAATATCTATAGGCCTATATTCCACAATAAATTGCGTAAAATGGGGGTTTTGTAGACTGTTTTAATGCTGAAGAAGGAACTGGAGTTTTACATGGCAAACACAACCCTAAAAGTCTCTTTTACATTTAGCAACCCATAAATAAAGACTTGGCCTTACTTCCTCTTCACACCATGATGTTCTTCTTCTCTAGTTTCTCTCTCTCATTAGTGGAGCTCAGGAACGCCGCCTGAAAGCGGTGATGTGTTCTATAGCTGCAATATAAGAACAATACAACGAAAAAATATATTAAGTTAACAATTCTGCCAAATACTCAAATCCACTCTTACTTCTTAACATTTCCTATTTATTTCCATTTGCTTGATAATTGAATATTATGTTGTTATTTCTTCTTTATTTTATTTCTTCTTTATGTTAAGTCTGCATTATAGTAGCTACAATAAATAAATATAAAAGTAATCTAACTGTTCAAGCGCGGAACGATTCGTTCATCTGTCACGTGAAAAAAATAATCGAATTTCCGAATATCTTAATTGGAAAATAATGAAAGACGCATATAGTGGAAATGTTCGCGGAATTTGTTTATTTAAATATATATATATCGCCTGAAAGCGATGATGTTTGATATATATGATATATATATATAACAGTTTAACTTAATTACCTTAAATGAACGAAATGATTTGAATAAAAGTCATTTTGTGGAACTATGTTCAAAGATCAGCGTCAGTAAAATGATCCGATCTTCTCAACAAAAATGCGTACGGTTAAGTTACAACACAACCTGTATAAAGAGTGCTTGTTTATGTATAATCAGATCTGTAGCAACTATTATAATTACCGTCTGAGGGTTTATTTCAGAACGAATGCAGAAAATGTGATTCCAACCGATTGTAATCCACCGATCACCCGTAGGCCATATCAACGCTATATCAATCCGCTCATGCGTGTAAAGAAACCGGAACTACTTTCTCGACTCTCGGACTCGTTTTATTCAAAAGACAACTGGCGCCATCTATCGTCTCATTTATAGTGTAGTGAAAACAACCTCAGAGGACTTCATTTTTAATATTGCTGGAATATTGCCACGTTGGGGCCTTGAACATAGTAAATGTCTGGGTTACTGTATTCTGTACATATAAAAACCTTTTGATCTAAAGGCTAGTTCCTACATAGGAAATTTCGTTCACAAAACTAAATGTTTTTTGTTTGTTTTTATTTTGGGTGATAAAAAAGCAAGTATCCAGAATACACGTGAACTCCTACAAAAGCATCCCAACATTGTGAAGTTGGTTTATGAATGTCGAGATTGAGCAAATCTAGTACAAATCTAAGAGGGAACATTCTGGCAAGGTTCACTCAAATTTATGTACAAACATTCTTCTAGTAATGTTAATAGAGTGTTCATTCAAAGTTATCTGGTCTTTAAATAACACTCTCAAAAAGTTAACACAAAACTAATACATTTATACATCGTTCATGGAACATTTTTTTAGTTGCACATTCATCTAACATTTTTATAAGGTACATGTTATTACAGAAAACATTCAAAAGCAACATTCCCAGAATGTTTACAAACGATACAATGGAAACTTAATTAGAATGTTAACAAAATGTTCCTAGAACATGTTTTGTTAGCTGGTAGAGTAACCTCATAGTATTAATAATGATAAAGAATGAGAAGGTGCGTCCAAACTGCTGTCACAATATGTGCCAAGTATAACCCAGGCGTGTGTTTTGTGTGTGGGTGTATATTTAGCATGCATGCACTGAATGTACTTACTGCACGCAGACCATGAGCAGAATGGCTAGGCAGCTGATGACTGACAGGACGACAGTCATAATAACGAGCGCGGTGTGGCTCCGATCAGTGCTGCTCTCGTCCCGAGACGTCCCGAGAAGCTGGATCCCACAGCGTTCTCCATCATAACCTCTCTTACATCTGAAACAATCAAACTTTCATTACTTGAACACGACGTTAATGCAACACTGACTGGATTTAATTGATGTGAATTCACTAATGAAGTGCAGGTGTGTGGGATGTTTATATGTAGTGTGCATGCAGATAAATATGGAAGCCTGTTTCTGCCATGGAATAAACTATTTAAAAGAGGTGATTGTGACTTTTTTTCTTACAATTGTGACTTTATATCTCACAATTCAAAGATTTTTCTCGCAATTAACTTTTTTTCTGGGAATTGTGAGATTTAAACTCAGAATTCATACTTATTTTCTCTACTTTTTTTCCTTGCAATTGTGACTTTATATCTCACAATTATGAGTTTATCTCACATTTCTGAATTTTTTTTCAGAATTCTGAGTTTACATCTTGCAATTTCTTGCAAATTAGACAAGATATCTGAGGTATTCTGAGTTTTTGTTTTTGTTTTTGTTTTCACCATAAAATAAAGAATACAAAGGGTTATTTATATCTCACAATTCTCAGTTTATCTCTCAGTTTTCAGAAAAAATGTCAGAATTGCGAGACATAAACTCACAATTCTGACTTTCTTTCTCAATTTGGAGTTTACATCTCACAATTCTGACTTTTTTCTCTGAATTCTGAGTTTACATCTAGCAATTCTGTTTTTTTTTGTTTCTGCCATGAAAAACGGTAATTGCCTCACAATTCTGACTTTTTTTCTCACAATTCTCGAGTTTATATCTGACAATTCAGCATTTATATCACACAGTTCTGAGCTTATATCTCACAATTCTGATAAATGTCTAAATTGTAAGATATAAATTCAGAACTGCAAGAAAGAAAGTCGAATTGAGATAAAAAGTCGCATTTACTTTTTTATTTCTTATCCCGTGGTGGAAACAAGCTTCCGTAGGAAAGTGTCACTCACACACAGACAGGCTCTCTCAGACCGTGCAGGTATGTGCAGTGGCCGTGGATGCAGTAGTCCACGTGAGAGGTCAGGCAGGGGTCAGCGGTTGTGCTGTGACTCCAGTGACTGAGCGTGTGATTCGGCTGAACAGGAGTGATATTTTTATTCTTTTTTCTTCCTTTGTTCTTTTTGCGTCCAGAGCGCTTGTGATTCTGCTCGTCTCCTTTACTGACTTGGGTTACTGAAAGATATGAGATATATGAGAAACTTTAATGTGTGTGAGAATATTTGCTTTCTATACTTATCATTTTCTTTAATGTTTTTAAATGGCTCTTTAAAATCAAGCGGTCTTTTTCTTTCTTTTTAACTTTTATTTTTATTTATTTTAAGTTACAAGATTAACAATGCAGATAAAAAACAACATTAACAAAAAAGAAGGAACAACATACACTCTAAAAAATGCTGGGTTAAAAAGGGACAAACCCAGCTATTGGGTTGTTTTGACCCAGCGGTTGGGATGTTTTGAGAATCTTTGCCATTCATAAATATTGAATTTATCATCCTAATTAAAATTAAAAAGATGTTATTAGGTCAGTAATTTTAATTAGCAGAATAATAGACGTCTGCACAAGATTGTCAAGCAGGTGGACGAGTTTGACTGTCTGTACCCTTTTTTAAAGATTTTTACTATTATGATAGGACAGTAGGATTCGGGGTTCGAACTCAGGACACCCGTAACCCAACGGCGTTATATGTCGGCGCACTTGCCAACACGGTTGTACCTTTAAACAAAGTTGGATCACTGAACATTCCCGATGGATCCTGATCATCATCAGATTCCAAATCTTCACCCACGGCGCTCTGAAGCCCCTCCCCCGATGACGAGCTCACGGTCACATGACCCAGTGCAGCTGTGTGAGCGGCAGCTGTCCGTATGGTGAAAACTGCACTGCAAACTGTACACAGAAACACGCAGTTATATCACAGCAGAAATGTAATAACTGCTTGTGAGGAATGCTGATTTGTATAGTTTCGGCCCAGTTTGCAAATAATAACAGGATCAAACGCTTCATTATATCACAATGACACATTAACCTCTATTAGCAGATATAAAGAGCGGTTAATCTTCTAATGTTGCGGTTGATGTTGAGTCATCCTGTAAACACCCCATGTGTATTGTACTGAGCAGATTAGCTGTGTATGTGTGTGAGAGAGAAATTGAGAGTGAAAGACATAAGCGAGTGGAAAAGTTGAGGTTATGTGAGGTAAATCTGCGCCTGCCGCAAGTAGCCTACAATACAAAATTAGAGTCCTTTATGTCTCCTTTTCTTGTTAGACACCAGTTTATAAAACACATAACCTAGTTCAGAATCCGATAGGATCAATACAGCTTTCCATTCATGCTAAAATACACAATATAATAACAGGAATGATGTGAAGATAAATACTGCACAGAATCCATACAAACCAGGTAGGCTAAGTAAATGAACAATGTATATTATGTTTCCTTGTCTTGCACCAAGATATCCCCGTTTACCTGGCAGCAGAAGTTTTGACAGCGGTAGGGCGTTTGTAAAAACTACAGATCGTACTTCCGCATTTTTGTATCCGCGCTTAAGGAGAGTCTGATCGCGCCCAGTGCATTATGGGTGTTGAAGTTTTTGTACTTTTTTTTTTCCCTCGCCACGGCTCTTTTTCTGTTTTCTATAATCGTGTAGCACCGAGAATAAAAAAAATTCGTTTTGCTGCATAAACAGCCACATTTTTTTTTATCAAAACCCCATCTTGCCAGCGGTGAATTACCCTCGATCCTAATTTAACATGTTGGGATTCAATTTTCTAGATTAAGAATGACACGTTTGATTAATAGAACAATGATTCTGATGAAGAAAATTATGTTTCAATGAAAATGTGTCAAATATTTATTTTCTCAATCATTCTTTGGTTTAAATAAGCATTTAAATATCATCTTACTAAGACAGCCTATTGGGAGATATAGAGTGACAACTGATATTTATATGCTATAAAGATTAAAATTTAAAGCTATCAGAGCCGTATCTTACTTTTTGCCACATAAATACCAGCAACTGCCAAATTGCATATTTTTGCTTAGTTTGGGCCTCTGAATAAATTTGAGGGTTTTTCCCCTACATGTTTTCACTACATCATGCCATAAAAGCCTGATATATTAAATATGATACTCACCCCCCTCAAAAAAAAACAAAAAAACATATGCACCCTTTTTTATTTTTTTGTCTAAAGTGTCAATAAACTAAAAAAAAAAAAACTTTTTTTCAAAACTATCATTACAAAACAATGTTTGCATCTAAGGAGGTCTCAATGTTCACAACCCACGTGATTCATTTCCATAGTGAAACATGCTATTCAACGAGCAAATATGTAGGCCGGGACTTGATTTTATCCATCAGGAATTGATTGGGATCAAAAAAAAAGAAGTGGGCATTATATCACAGAATGGAGCCAGACCTGAATGTGAACATGAAGGACTACTCCCATCCTGAAACACAGCCAGCATATGTTGGTTGAAACTTAAGTAACCAGGGTAACGTTGTTGCATAGGTGGAGTAAGTTTTGATCATCGCATTTTGATGAAACATTACAAAGTCAAACACGTTTGTATTTGGAATAACACACAAAAAGACCAGGAAAAAACATCCGTTTGATTTCCTTTTGGCTAGTAATCGAAGGTGCCATTATCTGAAAATTGCAGGAACAAATTCCACCAGCCCTGGGTGTGTGGCAAATCGATCCAGTCTATTAAACACTAATTGTAATTTTGCATGCCATTTTATTCTGCACACATTCTATTCCTTATCACATTAACCATTAACATGTTTCTTTAATGTCTTACAAATGAAGAGTCTCAGAATACTTCAATTTAGAACATCACTAGATTAAACAACAATCTTTGGTGTCAAATATTTTGCTTGAAAACCGTGCAAGTGCTATTTTTCTTTCTAATAGATATGTGGCAATTCAGACATTTTAAAGTAGTGTATGTGCCTTTCTATCACAGGTATAAACTGGCGACGTCTGCAGTCAAACTAGTCTGCAAGGAGAATGTTTGAGTAAATGCATTTGATCTGAACACTCCTACCGACTGGAATCCTGCATTTAATTGTCAAAGAAATTCACACACCTATTATTGTGTGCGGGGATGACCTTTCTAACGTTAGTTCGTAAAGCTAAATATATATTTAACACGGCTGTGTGACGCCCTAATCCTCCGTCCTTTGCCATGAACAATAAGCGCTTTGTGACGTCGAACATGACAACAGACAGCCCAGATTTAAACTGTGTGACGTTCTGGCATACACCTATATGGGAAAAGCCGGAGCTCACAGCTATTCAGAGGCATGTTACTACAGGTCGAGTCGATTTCCCAAAGCCCTGCCTGTCTGGAGACACAAACACAATACCACGCACACTTCACTCAGCGAGAGAGCTCAAGCTGGTTTTGGAGGAAGTTTACTATCTTGGAGTCTTTCATATTCATCAGTCAGTTGTCTTTTGTCAGTTGTCAAAGTGAAATTAAAATACAATAAACAATAATAAGTAAATGCAGAAAATTTACACTCGGCATGGAAGAAAATATGTTGCAAGTTTCGCTCACTTTTTGACTTTTCATGATTTTTCATTTTGTTACTTTATCACTGGACAAGTTTTTTTTATTTATTTATTTTTTATAATTTTACAGAATTTGAAAAAAATAAATATCAATATTTTAGAGCAAAGCATAACTAGAAAAGCATATATTCACACACATAAAAATCCAATAATATTTTAAGATTGTATTCATTTCCATGATTTCTTCAGGATTTTAAATCACGATTTTAAAATCCACTAAGATTTCCAGGTTTTCCACTACCGTGGCGCACCTGCAGCTGACAGGTCAAAAATAAAGTAAGACAGGATGGAGAAAACCAAACTCACCGACACAGAGCAGCAGAGAGGAGAGGCGCTGTAGGTTCATGGCAGCTGACAGCTGAGTTCTGTGTTGAGTTTCTGTTTGTCATGAACTTATCGTCCAGGAGGAGCTTTTATAGGGAGGTTTCCCTTCACACACACACACACACACACAGAGAGAGAGAGAGAGATAATATGTGTGTTTGTGTGTGTTTGTAGGCACCTTTTGTAAGGTAAATGTTTGACGAGAGTCCACCTGTAGAATTCATCCACAGGTCATTCATACACGAGTCATTATGTGAGATTCATTTTCCATTTCACGTCACTGGACTGTGATGCTGAATAGCTTGACTGTTTTGTCAAGTGTTCCTGAATGGGATATGAGAATACTTCTAAATAAACAGGAATATTGTTCATGTTTATTTGTACTTTAATAGTCAATTATGATGACTTCACATGCACTGATGTAGATGTTTCAGATTTGGGGATGCAGTCACTGGAATCGAATTTGGCCTTAAGTCTTTGGAATATTTGGAATGGAATATGAGATGCATCACGTCTGGAATAAAAAGAATGCAAAGAATGGGATTCTTGGGGGAAAATGCAATAGATAAAGAGAGAAGCCAAAACACCCCCAGCACACACACACTTGTTCGGTGTGAACACAGCCTTATGGGTCATTAAGTATATTACTGTCCCTGTAATTTGAGGCCAAAAAACTATGGTACGGGACGGAAGAGAGGTAGCTGGAAGAACGACCGGTTTTCTTAGATGAAGCCATGAATGAACGTGTTCGTGCAATTTAAATTCTGTTTGAGTCGCCTGCCGTGCAACATGTCCCTCACATCTGCATGGTAATGAGTTTCTGAAGAGCCCAAAAGGAAGAGAAGCACAGCTAATGACCCTGAACCGTTAACACAGAACAAACTAAACACCCCATTAGACGCTATCCAGAATTTATATAAGGCCACCATTGGATTCATACATTTGGATTAACTTTGAACTAAAAGCAATGCATTTACAATTGCATTTTACATTGTCGTTTTGAAAATACAGTGAACACCTGATGTGTTCATTAAATGCACAAAGAGTTAAATTACACAAAAATATAAGAGTGAGTTTGCATTCTGATCATATGGAAGATAACTTCAAATTCCATGTAGTCGTATCTGATTATATAGGTACTCAGTGAGTGATAACATCAAACATCCTTTTTTTAGCTCAAAACTTACATAATATACAGGTCTATATGGATGTAGTGCTACGGTTTTTAAAACAGAAATGACTAAAAGCAGAGCTATTCTGAGGCAGCTCCTTAAAACTTGCCTGCAATGTAAACCAACTTGTTGGTGCAGCCCAATGCTACGGGTGTCCTCTAATATGACACCCAAATCTAGAGGATTAGAGCGTAGAGGCGTTTCACTAGTGTGAAAGTACTGAAAAAAGTAACATACATACATACTCATGGTTTCATTTGTGAGCTAAAAGGGTTTAGAAAAAACTGAAAAAAGTGCAGAAAAATTCCCTGCAGTTTTATTTGTTTAATATTTTGTTAGATTAACCTACCACTATTTGGCCATGCTGTTTAAAAAGGCGTTTATCTTTTTATTTGCCAATAATGTTTTTATTTTATTTTATTTTATTGTCTATACTACTGTTAAGTATTGTGTAATTGATTAATGTTGGTTAATGTTATTAATGGAGGTTTATAAAGTGTTTAGTACATTCCCTAAATTTAAGACTTACATCAAACCTCATTCGATCATTTCAACAATCATTTCTATAGGAATCTTTACACAACTAAAGCCCCCAAAATAGACATGTTATTGATAGTGACACCGAAACTTTCCATATTGCAACAGAAACAGAAAATGAATCATTTGCAGTTTTGTCATTGATTACACATTTAGACTAAAATTCAGACCTGCTATGATATTTAATAATGATGTATCATTATTAAATATTATAACAGGGTCTAATAAGCCATCTCACTCCCCATAAATTGTATTTAATTTGTAGTAAATTTATTACATTTTTTATGTATTTACAAGTTTGAAACAAATAGTTTTATATGCATTTTTCCCTGAATCTGCTTCTATTCTGTTTGGTTAATACTACTAAAGTTAAATGGTAAAAACATGGCATTTACGTAGCAACTATTGTTAGGTCAATTTTTTTTGTAAGGGTAGTACGGAATTTCAGAGAGCTGCGCATGCGCAGTGCAACTTTTCCGCATTGGGCTCCTTCACGCTTCCTCATTGACAGCGCCTAAAGGAAGATAGCAGCGATACACTGTTTCATTTACACTCGTAACAGTTTTTATACCGTTTCTACCTATTATTGACGTCTTAAACAACTCGGAAGTCTTCTTTAAAAGTCTTGGAAAGTTCAGAAATGTCAAAGCCTCCCCCCAAACCAGCTAAACCAGGTAAGAGGTGCGCGTGGAGGAAAAGCCTACCTCGCAAGCCTACAAAAGTTTCATTATTTATTCACTCGTTTTTGCGTTGTTTCTTTGTCTGACAGCCTTACAAACACGCTCGTTTCCGATGCCATACAATGAAATGTATATAAGAGCATGCAATTTCTGGTTATATTGAACTTTCTCCTGCGGGTGGAGGTTGGCGTTTCTCCAGCGCAACGCAACTTTCTTTGCGCTTTTACGCGTTTTAAACGCTTGTCACCGACTAACATGCGCGAAACCACCACAATGTAGCATAAAAGTTCAAAGAGCAAGAAGGTTCAGAACCTAGTGAGCAATCTACCTCGACAGCGCGTTTAGTCAACGTAGTCTACGTACGCATTTTTCCTATAATCGGTGCATTATCTGGCGAGCCAAAAACATTTTTATATGATGCCCAGAAATGTTGTCTAGATCAATGATTTTGAGTCCCAGCCATGGTCTCATAGAAGTTAGTTACTTCCCCATATGAAAGAGCAGCTTCATTTTGCTTAGTGTGCAAAATAACGCATGACATTTGGACTGGTGATTTATGATGATGCTGTGTACGGTCAAAGATATGTGTTGCAGTTAGAGATAGACCAATATTATCTTTTCACAACTGATACGATGCTTGTTATTTTCATATTTAAACATCGAATAACCGATATGCATAATAACTGTTTAATTTCTGCTTTTGGACACAACAATACCTAAATCTTTAGACTTTTCAACCAACAGTTGGGTTAAATGTTTAACCCAGCCTTCTGGGCAGTAACTTAACCGCTGGGTCAAAACAACCCAATCGCTGTGTTGATCCATATTTTACCCAGCGCCTGGGTTGTATTTTTAGTGAACAGAACTACAAATAATGTGCATTTGCGACTATATTATTTGTTTTATTAATAATGCCATTCAAAATGCTAAATCACGTGATTGGTTTGAAATTTAGTAGAAAGTAGAAAACTCTTGAATTCTGAACTCTTTATTGGTCCTGTCTCAAGTTGTAGAATGTCCTCTTAGTACAGTTTTCTCAGGATGTGGGTCTGTGACGTCCAGCATGCAAATTTTATTTTACCAGTTGTGTGCCATGGGATGTTTGGAATATTTAACACTGTTTTGTTTAGTAGTGGCCAAAACCAAGTTACATTAACTTTTACACTAATAGTAACATATTATAATGTGGTGTAGATTCTAGGTGAACCTCCAACTTTGGGAAACATTGTTAGTATTGCAGAACAGATTTCCTGTTGGTTGAACGGATTTCTACACTTCTGAACGATTGATCGTAGTTGTAATTGGCGGCAAACACAATAATCATATCCGGTGGAGGCCAGTGTTTCTATTTCCGAGGCTGATCTGGAAGTTCGGGAGGGGCCGGTTGGATCCCACTCAGCAGGGCTTCTCACTTGTTTGCATTAGGCCAAATGGAAATCCCTTTGCAGGCAGGAAATGCCCTTTGTTGTGTGTATAATGGTTTGTTTATTTATATATTTAGGCCTCAGGGCTTGGGTTCCTCTTAATTCTGTGTCATGTGGTTTGCCCTGCATTTGAGCTGCGTTTAGTTCTGTGATACTACCTGGTTGTAGATGTGATGGTGTTTTGCTTTTGGTTGGGCTGATGATAGGTGAAGATAAGGTTGAACCGGTGGAATATTTACTGCTCTGTTTCGCCTATAAATAGTGAGCAGAACACGGACAACTGTGGACCTAAAATGTGTATACAACTGCTTCAGTTAGTTATTTGAAAATATAAGTTTAACATTCATATTTATGTTTTAAACAGGCCAGGTCAAGGTGTACAGGGCTTTATTCACCTTTGACCCAAGGACGGTGAGTTTCATTCTTCTCTTCGGTTGTTTTGTTTGTTTTAGCTTGCCTGAATTGAGCTAATCATGTATATTTTCCTCTTTTTCAGCCAGATGAACTGTACTTTGAGGAAGGAGATATCTTGTATATCTCAGATACAGTAAGTTTATGTTAGTTCCTCCTGCGACCATGGAGATAAAGAGCATTATATTCATGGCAGTGTTCGTGATTTTGAACTGACTGCTTGGTTTATGTTTTTAGAGTGACAGTAACTGGTGGAAGGGAACATGCAGGGGAAGGACTGGACTTATTCCCAGCAATTATGGTAAAGAAAGCAAGTGGCAAACTAGAACCTGCAAACCATCAGTCCTTTACTAGAACACCTTTAGTGATTTGAAAAGACGACTTTTGTAAAATGTGTATATAATATGTGACTTTTACAGTCTTTTATGATGTCGGGAAAGTTTTATTAGAGACAATCAGTGCTGTTTCCTAAAGAAATGCTAGCTATTACTATTGCACGTATACTTGGGTTTAAGACCTTGGTTCATCTTCGGAACACAAATTAAGATATTGTTGATGAAATCTGAGAGCTCTCTGACCCTCCCATAGACAGCAAGGATACTACCACGATCAAAGCACTTCTATCCTCGCTACGTTTCTGTGCCTTGATCGTGTTAGGATCCTTGCAGTCTATGGAGGGTCAGAGAGCTCTCAGATTTCATCAAAAATATCTTAATTCGTTTTCCGAAGATGAACCAAGGCCTTATGGGTTTGGAACGACGTGAGGGTGAGTAATTAATGACAGAATTTTCATTTTTGGGTGAACTAACCCCTAAAGTGTCAAACTTCTCTGCATATCATTTTATGCATTATACGCTATTACTTTTCTAAGCTATACTTAAATTTGTGATGTGATTTGCCTTTTTCCAGTGGCTGAGCAAGCAGAGTCCATAGACAACCCCATGCATGAAGCAGCCAAGCGAGGTACCCAAATATACACCTATCTGGCATTTTGTTTGTTTGATAGTGTGGTGAAACAATTAAATGTTTTGTGTGTGAATGCAGGTAATCTGAGCTGGCTCAGAGAGTGTTTGGATAATAAGGTTGGCATCAACGGACTGGACAAAGCAGGGAACACCGCTCTCTACTGGGCCTGTCACGGAGGACATAAAGGTAAAAGATGCACACACGCTTTGATTGTTTTCACATTTTTAAATTTCATTTTCGAGCTGCAGCAGTTGTGCACAAACTCTTTAAGCTGATTTAAGCCTGTTTTGTCCAATAATGGCACATCAAGTTAAAAAAAGTACAAAAAATAATGGCAAGATGAAACGTTTAACCTACGTTGTGTTTGTGTTTTCTTAGATGTGGTGGAGATTTTGCTGAGTCAGCCAAACTGTGAGCTCAATCAGCAGGTAAAATGTTTTTGGCGAGTCACTTTTCTTGAGATCAAATGCATTTCATTTGAATTGGTTAAAATGCACAGTTGAGATCAGCTTACAAATGTCTGTATGAAAAAGTGACAAAGCGATAGCAAAGTGTTTCTAGAAACGGAAGCAATGCTCATGTTCTTTATATTTTACTCAATGTAATAAATGGTGTGTTAATTTTTTGAACAGAATAAACTGGGAGACACGGCTCTACATGCAGCTGCCTGGAAGGGTTATTCAGATATAGTTGAGATGCTGCTCAGTAAAAGTGAGTGAATTTTTCCCCTCCTTATAAGTATCTACTTGTATGTATGTGACACTAGGGTGGGGCAGAGCTCGACAGTGCAAGCACTTCACTTGCATTTGCAACTAAAAATAGATCTGTGCAAACTTGTAAAGTGCATTCAGGAGCATGTGTGAAAATTAAAAAAGCCCCCAGTTTTCTGAAATTTAAGGTCATAAAAAGTCTTAATTTTCTAAATCAATTTGAAATTGAAATGTAAAAATTCCAAGTACAAACACACATGTCCTTTTTTGTATCTGTATCTGTATGTTTGATATGTTTGTTTATATTGCAATATGTGTTGCTATAGATGCCAGGACAGATGTGGTCAACAATGAGAAGAAGACCGCTCTGGATATGGCCACCAATGCACAATGTGCCTCTCTGCTGAAGAGGAAACTGGGAGGAGGTGAGTCACAAGGCGTTACCTCCTTCAGATGTCACTTCCTGTGAGAGAGATTCACACTTAACTGTCTCTCTCTGTTGAATTTCCAGTGATTCTGCGCACCCACAGTAACGCCGAGGAGTATCTCGATGATGAAGACTCCGACTGAGAGAAGAGCAGCACTAATGAAGTCCATTCATTCCTACATTCATTCCAACAAAAAACCATCACAACATGTATATAGATCAGATATATGTGGGAGAAACATTATTTACAAAGGTGGGGAGGATATGAAAGCTGGTTGTCGTTGTCTGATTGTCTCAACTTTCTTCTTCATTCCAGTTCATTGTAAAAGTATTGCAGTACTTGTCTGTTCTGTACATGTTTAGGATGGACACAGTGAACATTCGTTCTTCTATTTGCTGCTCCTCTTTTAGCTGTATTTATTGCATAGAACTCTCTTTGATTTTAAAGTGCCTTTTTAATAGGGAGATCACCCAGAATGCCTCACAGCACTGGGTCTTTTTATTCCAAAAGTTTTATGCGCGTGTATGTAAGTGTGTGTCTGAGCATTTTAACCGTTTGATTGTGTTTGTGTGTGTGCGAGATGTGCTTGATGATAGCTTCTGAGATGCATGTAAATCTGAATGTTACGACTATGCAAATAAATCAGTGGCCTTTGCTTGATATGCAAGACTCAAGATGAGAAGCTTGAATATAATTGTATTTGTAAGTGCCCTTTATTCATTGTGTGCATTAATTTAGCCATATTTTTAAGGTAAAAAGGGTAATTGACTTAAGGACATGAACATTTTTCTAAGATTTTAGATTACGATTTATATATTTTGTATTCGTCTGTATTTTTTGTGTTTTACCACTTTACATAATTTTAAATCAGATTATGTGCTATTCAGGAACATGCTAGGGAAGACTATATTTGAACCTTTGCTCTCCAAATTGCGTGAGGAAACTGAGTAAGTTGATAAAAAATACATAATATTCATAATGAAATCTGAGATATTCTTTTATTTTTAACATGTTTTAAAATGATAGTTCACCCAAAAATGAATGTTCAGTCATTTACTCACCAAACCTGTTGGAGTTTCCTCCTTCTGCTGAATATAAAAGAAGATATTTTGAAGAATGTGGGTAAGCAAACAATTGCTTGACTTCCATATAGATTGACTTTTCATTAAAAATACTACAAAAAGTCAATGGTAACAAGAAACTGTTTGGTTACTTACATTCTTCAAAATATCTTCTTTTCTGTTCAGCAGAAGAGAGAAATGCATACAAGTTTGGAACTACTTGAGGGCAAATAAAGGATGGGGATTTAAATTTTTGGGTGAACTATCCAGGGCCGTAGCTAGAGGATTCGGGGCCCCCTGAAAAAATATTGATGTGGGCCCCCACACCCCTCCACTAATATAATTTATTGTACAATATATGAGCATGGAGGCCCACATGTAATCTAATAGGGGTTTCTTAAAATATAACAAAACAGGCCCCTCTTGATGTCACCACCTTTCACCCCACTAGCGACGGCCCTGGAACTATCCCTTTATCTTTTTTCATTAAAACATGTCAGGTCAGCTAACCACAAATTCCGTTGCAATATAGGTTTTTCATTTGCCTTAAAAACAGACGAAAATTTAAATTTGATATTAATTTTTTTGTTGTACCGCATAGGCTAACGTTTGGTTTTGAGAGCAACGCGATTCATGCCAAAGAAATTTTACACCAACATCGTTATCGTTTATTTTTCCAGCTTAACTGTAGGTAACCTCCATCTAAATTTGTGTTATTAATCAAGTTACTTAATAATTTTTGAAAAGAAATTGATCTGATTTGTCGTGAAGGGACTCACCTTGAGAAACTCGCGCCATTCCTGTCAGCAATGAACGCGTTGCTAGCCAAGGGCGCGGTTTAAACACTAGCCTAACTGGCAATTTAATTAAATGATAAGTGTTTATTTTACAGCTTACTAGTTCACTATTATTCTAAGCATAATAATGAATAATGTAGTGTCCAGTCTTTTAAGCAATACAAGTGATTTTAGATTCAGTTGTTTCAGAAGATTTAGTTAGGAAATATAAGGAATTCATTGACCTCGCTATTGCATTTACTGGAAGAGAACTCAAAAAGTAACTGCAGTTTAGTGACCTCATGTTACATATTGCCAAATCAACCACAAAAAAGTAGGCTATTCTGCAATAATTTGCTGAATTTTCCATGTTCTGCCAGTCTCAGCTGCTGAAAGTGCGTTTTAGATTATGATACTGAACAATATGACACAAATGGTAAAAATCTGTAGTTTTAATGTGCGATAGCCTATATTTAAGTGATTTTTTTTATTAATTCTTATGACCACAGGCCTGTTCAGACATAATATTGAATGCATATATTAGCATATGGCTTTAAATTAAATCATATGGTGGCGCTAAAGAGACAGATTAGTGTAACAGCCAGATGCTCAAGTTTGAAATTTATTCATGAATGAATGCTTTTTATCATACTATAAAATGTCATTCTGATTATTTTAGTGGACGGTGGAAAATATAAACATTTACATATATGCATTCAGCAGATGCTTTTATCCAGGGTGACTTAGATTGTATTCAAGGTATACGCTTCATCAGTCCATGTATTTCCTGGGAATGTAATTTATACAAAATGAACATAAAACGGATAGAAAATATAAAATTTTGTCAGCTGTTAATGAGATTTTAATGCAAATAAATCAACGACGCATAAATCAGTCATTCAGATCCTGGTATTTATTCAATGTCTTGTACAGTCCATTTAGACCCCAAGTTTTAAATACAATGTGCATGTCATCAGTCAATGTAGAATAAAATATGACATCACCTTGAAAAAGAAAATCTTTAAATTATGAAAAAAACAAAAGTTGAGTAAAGTTGTTGCAATCACTGATAATCCGTAAGACTTTAATATATTTACTTGCATACAGTAGGAAATCGGATGAATTGAAATAGGGGGAAAATGTGTATCACAAACTCATTGCATACAAGAAATTAAGACAAAAATCATTGTAAGTAAATCGCAAAACATGCCCGGTGGCAATAGGCACATTGTGGAACGCCACATACTCAACGAAGCAGGCATCTGGGCCCGAACTGTTATCTTTAAGGCGGTGTTTTATAAGAAAAAAATATGTATTATAACAGCAGAAGTGAGTTGTTTCCACAGTTAAACTCTCATAAAGGCATAAGGATGGAAGCTCAAACCACTCCAGCCATCCAGAAAAACACAAACCACCCATGCATATAAAAATACAAACACTCGTCAACAAAAAAAGCACAAAAAAAAAAAAGGTTAAAAAAAGAGCCCACTTTATAAAGTGATCAGACAGAGAAATACATGCACAATAAAATCAGGGCTGAGCAAACTCTGAGTACCAAAAATTAGAAAAATATACAGAATATGGCACTGAGATTTTGATGATGCCAAGCTGTTATTGCACCTTTAAGAAAAACCTGATGTGGCCAGGGGAGAAAAGAAGCGAAATAGATGCTCGGGGTGAAACTTCTTGCCCATTGCGGTGATGCAGCGGCCGGTAATGGGTTTCTGACAGCCGGAGCAGAGGGAGCCGCGGTGCTCGTGGTAATGAGCCTCACAGTACGGCTGCCCTTCATGCTCGAAGAAACTGCCGTTCACAAACGGAGTGAAACACTCCTGTGGAGGACAGAGAGAAAATGCAGGAATCAGTCAGTTATGCATGAATGATTCAAATAATGCTACAATAAAAAGATTCAGAAACATCTAATATTGAAACGTGCATGCATCCGAAACACCAAGATAGCAACATAAACACCACAAATTTTCCAAAACCATGTCTAGAAAGCAGCACGGCTGATGATTGATGTCTATATGAATTAATATCTGAAAAATTTTGTTAAAAATCTTGGGGAAAAAACCCAAAATGATTAATTATAAAATCAGAATATTTACATATCTAAAAATGTCATTTCAGAATGTATCAAATAAATTTTTTTTTAATATATACCATTCATTATTATAATCATCTGATTTACAACTATATACACTACGATATTGCAGATTTTATGAATGATTTAGTATACTACATTAATAGACAAATATTTATTGCCAGCAACCCTGCTGAATTAAATAAATAAGTTAAATAATAAACAATATAACAATTTCAATACAAGTATAAATCCTAAATATATAAATATGAATTAGAATAATATATTAATAGGCCAAGATATGATGTCAGCAACCCTGCTGAATTAAATAAGCTGAATAAAATGTAATACATTTAATGAAATGTAAATCCTGACAATAATATAACATAATAATCTCATTAAATTTATCAATCCTAAATATACAATTGTATAAGTAAATAATTATAAAATACAAAAAAATACAGAATATTTAAATGTAGTTTATAAAAATACATTGAATATTACAGTCTTCAGATTGATAAATATATACACCCTGACTGTACTGTATATATACTCTGATATTTATTAAATTATTTAGTATAATATATTAATAGGCCAATATTTTGTTTCAGAAACACTGCTAAATTAAAAATATTTAATAACATGTAATAATTGTAATATATGCAATAAAATGTCATGAAATATAATGAATATAATAAAATGTAACATGCTCAATACATTTTAAAAACACATTTAAAAAAATTGAATGCATAAAAATAAAATGTAATAAAATAAAATAAAAACAGGTCCAAGCAAAATATTGGCCTATTAATTGGCTGATATATCAGTACAGACACCCACAAACACACACACTGACCCTGCAGACAAAACACTCAGGGTGCCAAAGAGCGTTAAGGGCCGAAATATAGTTCTCCAGGATGGCACGAGCACAGCCGCCACATTTGGGGGCAAACATGTCGAAGTAGTCCTTCTTACAGTACGCCTTTCCCTCCTTCTCATGGAAGCCTGCAGACCAATTACAGAAAGAGGGCAAAAAAGGTTGCCAAAGGCTTAAAACCATATTAAAGAAAATAAGCTGGTAAAAAAAGGAAACATCAGCTAAAGAGAAGAAAAGAGGTTGAGAGGAGTGGAAGCTGCTTACCCTCAGGCCCAAAGAATGACCCGCACTGGGCACAAAAGAAATGCTCCGGATGCCAAGTCCTGTCTAATGCGGTCACCACTCTCTGCAGGAGGAAGTAAAAGCGATTCGTTACAATGAAATGATGGTGAAAGAACAGAAAGCACAAAAGAATGCAAGAAAAACAAAGAATAAGACTATTATGACTAATTACAGGCAATAGTGTTCATTTCATGTGCCAACCTACAGAAACAAAAGTGTAAATCATTTATTTCCTACATAATTGTTTTAGCAATATAAACTACCCCAATTCTAACTACATGCTAAACAAAATACTAATTTTCAACATAATATATTAATTTAGTTTCTGTTTTTTGTTTTGTGTTAATGTGTATGTTTATCTGTCATCATATAAACATCCAGTCAAATGTTAATTCATGACTGATTCATTCCAATAAGTTCTGTGATTATGAATCTTTAGAACTGACTCATTAAAAGAATCTTCTCATAAGAATCATGTTACTGAACAGACTACACTGGTTGCACTGTATGTTTTTGCATGCAGCCAGCAAATACAAAACCTCATGACTTGTTGTTTATTGCCTTTTTCATTTTATTAATTCCAATAAGTTCTGTGATTATGAATCTTTAGAACTGACTCATTAAAAGAATCTTCTCATAAGAATCATTTGTTACTGAACAGACTACACTGGTTGCACTGTATGTTTTTGCATGCAGCCAGCAAATACAAAACCTCATGACTTGTTGTTTATTGCCTTTTTCATTTTATTATTTTTTTTTGTTTGTGTACTTTATGTAAAATATTGTGTTAATGTGCATTTATGTCTCCAGTCAGTGAGCGATTCAGATGTTAACTCGTAACTGATTCAATCATATAACTCGTGTTCATGAATCTCATTAGAATCATTAGTGAATCAGACTACACTGGTTGCTCTGTATGTTTTTGCATGCAGCCAACAAATAACATACTATGCTGCTTTTGTATTATGCTGTGGTAGACACTTTTGTAAATGTATCTTATTTTAAAGATGTTTAGTCATTTTTACTAAAGATGTATTGCTTTAAAATGACTTTAGAGCCTTAAAGGGGTCATATGATGCGATTTCAATTTTTCCTTTCTCTTTGAAGTGATACAAGCTCTTGGTGCATAAAGAAGATCTGTAAAGTTGCAAAGACTAAAGTCTCAAATCCAAAGAGATATTCTTTATAAAAGTTAAGAGTCAGCCACGCCTACCTAAAACGGCTCGTTCTAACACGCCCCCACATGCCTACGTCACTATCTGGGAAGATTTGCATAACACCGCCCAAATGTTCACGCAAAGAAAGGAGGCGTAACTTTTATTCTCGCTGTAGTATTGTTGTTGCCGCCGCCATGTCGTGAAGGCACTGTGTGCTTTGTTGTGAAACTACTTTGGTTGGCCTTCCAAAAGAGGACGATATCACTTCGTCATGCTTAGAGCTGATCCGTGCTGGTCGCTGAGGAAATACTTCAACTTCGCGCTGTCGATCGCCGGATCGGCTTTCAACGTGGACGAAGCGGAGTCCATGGTCGTCACATGTGGTTGCCGCAGGCATCACTATATGGTAAGGGACGTAACATTTCCGTCACACGCTTGAGGTATTCGGCCAATCACAATGCACTGGATAGCTGGCCAATTAGAGCACACCTCGCTTTTTCAGACCGATGAGCTTTGTAAAAATCAACGCGTTTCAGAAAGGCGGGGCATAGAGGAGAAACAATAATGTACAGTATGTGGAAAATAATGTGTTTTTTTAACCTTAAACCGCATAAACATTTCATTACACCAAATACACAAAATAATGTTCTTTTTAGCAGCATCATATGACCCCTTTAAAAGAGATTTAAGCTTATTTTTTTTATGCATTTACATTCTCAGCAGACTCTCTCTGTGTTGAGTTCTACTGCAAAGAACCTATTTAGAGTGTCTTTAAGTGACTGTTTATGTTTACAGGAAATCTGAAGCCAGAGGTAAAGTGTGGCCGGCTATAGTAAGCACTATCTCGACTGGGTGGTGACATGAGACGCTAACACACATGTCCGTGAATGCCCCGTCTGTGACCGCTTAAGATGCTGATAGGAAGCAGAATCCTTACGTCCAGAATGGGTCCGTTGCAGTAGTAACAGCGTGGAGAGAAGAGGCTGTGGTAGTCCTTTTCACAGTACGGCTGGCCGTCTCGCTCAAAGAAGTTTTTGGAGCCGATTTCCTCCTGACAGTGAGTACACACGAAATGTTCCGGATGCCACGTCCGCCCCATTGCTGTCACCACCTGAATGAATCAAAGAAAATGAGGACAGAAGTATATGATTTCACTTCAAGAAGTAATCAACAAAAGACATAACTGAATATCAGTGGCTCAGAAACTTGTGTTTAAGCCTACAAGCTAAAACTTTAAGATTACAACATCCGTAAATGCATATTCACACTACCGTATGAAATTAAGATTTTGTAATGTTTTTGAAAGAAGTCTCTTAAGCTCACTAAGGTTGCATTTATTTGATCAAAATACAGTAAAAACAGTAATATGTAATACTGTGAAATATTACAAAAAAAAAAAAAACTTAAAATAACGGTTTTCTAATTTTAACATATGTTAAAATGTAATTTCTCCTGTGTGGAAACTGTGATGTATTTATTTATTCAGCATTCTTTGACTAGTACAAAGTTCAAAATCACAGCATTTATTTGAAATAGAAATCTTTTGTAACATTATAAATATCACTTTTGATCAATTAATGCATCCTTGCTAAATACAATATCTATTATTTTTTTTAAATTGTCCTTACAAAAAAAGATATGAACCAGCACAAGTGTTTTCAACATTGATAATAATCAGAAATGTTTCCTGAGCAGCAAATCAGCATATTAGAATGACTTCTGAAGGATCATGTGACACTGAAGACTGGAGTAATGATGCTGAAAATTCAGCTTTGATCACAGGAATAAATTACATTTTAAAACACTTAAATAGAAAACCGTGATTTCAAATTGCAATAATATTTTACAATTTTATAATAAATAATTGCAGCCTTGGTGAGCATAGGAAACTTTCAAATACATATTATAAATAAAATATTATTATTATTATTAATAGTAGTTGTAGTAGTAGTAGTTTTTTCAGATTTATGACAATAAAATAAATTAACTAAAATAGAAAACAGTGATTTCAAATTGCAATAATATTTCACAATTTTATAATAAATAATTGCAGCCTTGGTGAGCATAGGAGACTTTCAAATACATATTATAAATAAAATATTATTATTATTATTAATAGTAGTTGTAGTAGTAGTAGTTTTTTCAGATTTATGACAATAAAATAAATTAACTTCTTAATTTAAAAAAAATTTGTCTACACTGACATGTAAAACAGACACTTTGGTGGCCTTTTTGGTTTGTTTTGGAACAGAGCATCCACTCTAGAGCACAATATCCTAAAAATCCAAAAGCAATATAGGCTTGGATAACGATTTGGGCAGTAAATGAGTTCTTCAAGGGATTTCTTACCTGACCAGCGATGGGTTTCTTGCAGGCTCCACAAACGCCTTTGGCGACAGTCTGGACACCCAGCCGGTTGAGGTCTGACTGCAGGCTGCCCAACATGTTATCCAGTTTATTCCCCTGCTTTGGAACGCTGGTGGGGGAACTCTTGCCCTGAGCCATAATCTACAGGAAAAAGGAAAGAATTTTCACATTTTAAAGACTGCTTCATTAAGCAAAGAAAATGTGGACGCAAATCCCAACACAAAATAAGCAGTTTTGCTTTCTCCTCGGTACACATTACTAATGACTACCAATTAGTCGCTCAGCAGATGCATTCTTCCAAAGCATCTTTTGGTAGACTTTTTACCAGGTCAATCTTGATCAATGCCACAATGCTGATAATTCATGCCTAAACATTTGCAGGGTTTAAAATGATACATTCCACAGAGAACACCCCCAATGTGTTAAATGTCCCCCAATGAACGGTGTAGTGGTTCAGAGATTTATTCATGCCCCAAAACTGATGATCAACTTTGCACCATTATACCGGGAAATCAAAAATGACCATCAGCATGTGAAAAGGTCTTTCCAACTTCAATAAAGATTCAGCATGTACATCAAGAGCTACTGAACTGCACACATTTAATTGCACAATTTATTAGTCAATACATTGCAGGATGTTAGTGGTTATTAAACAACCACCGCATGCACTTAAAGAAGCACAAGTAGTTCTCAACTTCGCTGAAACACTGAATCACTTATGTGGAATCAATTGTAATTAGCCATAGCAATGCATATAATGGAAATGTTTACTGCAGCATTTGTCTTATTATTTCACAGCCTTTAGAGCAAACAGCAATCAACAGCCAGTCTGGTTAGATTTTATGCAACATTTGCAATGTTAAATGTCAGTTCATTTCACATAAATAGTAAGGCTTTTCAATAAGGTCTTTTTTTATTAATATTAATCTAAGGAAACCAGTCTCACACTCTCTGCATAACCATCCCTAAATACATCAGGATCGAGAAGGTGTTAAAGACATAATCAGATGACAAACTGAGTGAGGTTATGGGTCAAAAAGGCCTGGTAACCCCATCTCTGTTCTCCCAATTCAAATAACCGTGACACAGAAGCATTCTTTAGAAAGCAAAAATAGCAACCCACACATCCTCTGTTATTTCTGCATATGAACTCACACTTAAACAAGCTACTCTTGAAGCACTTCCACACAGCCTGACTTCTGACTTGCAGGTCATTCTGCAGCATATTCTTACATTTACACAATTCCAGCAGACTTAAAAACTTTGCTTTGCTTTAGAGCCAAAAACCTGCCAAAACAAGTAGAACTTAGAAGCATAAGGGCCTTTCGCACCGCGGGAACCTTTTCATAGTACCAGAACAAATGACGACGCTGTCGACCGGCTTTACGTCACTTCTTAGTACACACTGTTGGTGTGAATGCAACCCTTTAAATAGTACTGGGAAATAGTTCTCGCAAAATCGTCCCAGTACTTTAGTACTGTACATTTAGTTCTGGAACTAAAGCGGTGCGAAAGGCCCTATAGATGGTTACAAACTTAGTTTTAAAAGACAACTGTACAGATCAACAGCCTTTTCTGTGGTCACTAGCACTTCATTTGCAACAGAATTTGTTCATGTACCAGGAATCTACAAGGGGAAAACACAAGGACAGACTGTCTTCATGGGACATGTTGGCACCAGCAAACTATTTAATAAATGCTGAGACACTCCTAGTGCAAACGCTGTTTGGAGGTCAAACACACAACAGTATGCGCTTTGCATGCAACATGCTAGAAACCATGAAAGAATGGATAGAAACAAGGCAGAGGGTTCCCACACTATCTGACCAATGTATTTTCAAAATCACCATTCCTGTCATTTTATTATCCACATTCACTATATCTACATTTACTATAAATTCCGAATGATTCACTAAAGAAACTGAATTGTGAACCAGTCCAAGAGATTCATAGAAAAGAATCCACTCTCAGAATGATTCACTATGGCTTGTGAGTAACTTTTCCTCTACACAAACCCAATATACAACCAGTTTCCTATGACTTTTTATTCATTTCCATTTAGACTTTTCCAGGCCTTACAAATTCCCTCATATTTCCCCATTTTCAATGACTGTGGGAACCCTGAAGACATAGAGGCAAGCTCTGATCAGATGCAGATAAACACAGAGAGCAAGTTCGTGCCTGTACCGGTGGAAAAACAGGTTCATATTCCGTTTGGCAGCCAACAGACGCTAAAATCTTTGGTGGAGGGGGCGGGGTCACAGGTTTGGGAGGAGGGGATGGTGGAGGGGTGGGGTCTTTAGGTGGAGGTGGAGTTGGAACTGGAGGAGCGGGAGGAGGAGGAGGTGGAGGAGGAGAGAGCTCCCAAGGGGGTGGAGGTGGTGGGGGGAGAGGAGCGGGCATCAGTATCACAGGGTCTGGCTTTTTTGGGACAGGATGGGTTAGGACTTTTTTCGGAGGACTGGGCGAGTCTGGAGGAATGATGATCTGATGGACAAAGAAACATGAAACACGTAGCAGGAAGTGAAAGGAGCACAAAATGCAGAATAAAGGGCAAAAAATGGGTTCTGGAAGTAAAAATCCCATTCATTTTCTACATAGGGAATTTTTTTTTAAAGATAACTTTATTATCGTAACTTTTAAAGACAGATCTGTTGTGAGCTCTAAGGTTGTAAAATCGAAGGTATATGCTTTTGCTGAAGCCATCAGTCGGCATTATTTCTACTTATTTTAAACAATTGTGTTAAACAGCAGAATTATTAATTAAGCACTGCCTGACTTGATAAGCTCTCAAAATACTTAAATATCTGTGTATATATGCATATTCTGCTATAAACTTAAAATATAAATCATATATTACTTTCCATCAATAAATCCGTTAAGTACACAGTCTTGTACCTTTGCCTTTTTAATAAATTTTCAAATGCTTTTTGCTTCAAAAGTTAGTAACATTGTGATTTTCCTCTTTGCTGGATGGTTTGGCTTATAGTGCTTAAAAAAGACTTTTTAAAAATCCCTATGGAAAAATACCCACCAGGAACCTCTGGTGGGCGTTGTTGCTCTCTATTTGAAACCGTTTATAAAAACCAATATAAGAAATGTTGTTTTGCTAGCTTTTTGTGAGTTCCACCATTAACCTTGTGACTTGCACTACCTTATCAACCGTTGGTGATGCGCCACCTTCCTCTCTTAAGCGCTGTGGGTTGGAACAGACAATGACCCCTTCCGTAAGCCAATCATCTGGCTGTTTTCGTGGCCGCTCAGTGCGACCGATTCCCAGTTTCCCTTGCAGCTCTTCAATGAGTAGATCCTGCGAGTTGCTCTTGTTGAGAATTAGCGGGCCCATTTTTTTGCGCATGTGGCCATCACGAAACATCGGGTGGACGTTGGACGTTTCCTTTGTGCGTCTGATGACCGATTTAAGCTGCGGAGAGGCAGCATTAATGAAGTGACCTGACCACTTTAAAATTTAGAACATGCAATGCTTTCAAACGGCTCTGGAAAGCAACCTCACACTGATCTGGTTTGGGACAATGCATTGCATAGCTTCAAACATCCTCTTCATGACACAGCAGAAACGTCTCTAACCTTCTACAAACAATCTGAAATAATGCAAGAACATGTATAATGACCGTGAAACAAACACAACGTGCCAAAAACAATGCATAGCAAAACTGACAAAGCAAACTGTCAATTTTAACCTCTTAGTTCAGTTGACATTGCAACTAAAATCATTTAATTCAATGCATTTATATTTAAAATTTGATTCAAAACTAGGGCTGCACGATAAATCGCATGCGAATGTCATGCGCATCTCGTCAGTAAAGCAGGTTCTGTGATTAGTAGTAAATCTCCATCACGTGCTTTCAGATGGAGCAGCATTTAATAACACAGAGCCGTAGATCACTGACAAGCTATGCAATATCGCGTTCATAATCGCAGATGTATCGCTACTTTAGACTATAATCGTATCAGTTACTTGGAAAACTCAAAGCAGTTCAGAAAACGTTTAGATAAGTTCAGATGCAACAGATTTTGCCCAGATATTGTACATTATTTAAACTAATTGCAATAAAAAAAATTTGTAACTAGCAAACACAAGCAATATATGATTTAAAGGTTAGATTTCAAGATCAATGCATATGAATCTACATGATTTTAATGCATCGAGAAAATGAAGTAACCGTCATATCCTTAGACTTCACACATCACCTTTAGCAACTGCAAACAATTTTTTTGCATCATGCAAAACCATCAGACTATGGAATCAGTAAATGACCACTTTGCAGAACATCTCCTGCATCAAGTGCCCTGAAGAAATGGCAAAGAAGTGAAGATGGAATGCAATTGCACAATGAAACTCCACTACAGAACCGCAAAGAAACAAGCAAGCCTAGCCTTGTTGTCCAATTAGCGCCATACACCTCATTGAGGAAGCGCGTCAGGGCATGCATTTGAACATCGCAAAGACTCCTTCCACAGAATCTTATCCATTTCATGCACCAGACATACTTTGGATTCCTCAATTCGCCACCTTTCCAAAAACACGTGATGCAAAGCAATGCAACAGAAACCTAATTAAATGGCTATCCCTCCAATTTTAGGAGCACTAAGTGACGTCTGCACATGCGTATCAGGTTTTTGAGAGGCATATTTAACTTGCTAATGGTGGGTGCTTCTATCCGAGCAGGATGGAAAGGTTCAGATTGGGTATCAACAGGCCCCTTGGCCCAAGGATCAGGCCCATTTATTTGAGAAAGCATAAACAGCCGTACGTGGTTCAGCATGCTTCTCGCCCATGCTCGCTAAATTTAGGGGTGCAAATTGGAGACAGTCTGACAGAGTTGGTGCGCCTCATACTTGTCCAGAAGTGGAGAGCCTTTCAACCGCTGATGGCTGGAGAAGTGGAAGGTCCAGCGAAACATCTGACGCTCCAGGGAATGATGTGGGGTCCATCCAAGTGACATCTTTAAAGCCACCTGGTGGTGTCGATTGATGAAGACGTGCCAGAACATCATCGTTCACCTCTAATGAGGCAGGAGCTCCTTCACCCAGTTTCACCGGCTCTGGCTGAGAAAGACTGGACGTCAACAGCTTCTCCAGAGCTTCCTCAAGAAGAGGCTTGGGGCAAGGAAGACTTAATCCCAATATGCCCGGTTCAAAGCTCTCAGGTTTCTCTTTGGAAGGCTTCGGAGTTAATGTTAGGGTTGAAACTGGAGGAGCGGGCAGTGTAATGGTAGTTGGCACCAGACTCTTGCTAGTAATCCCTGTCTCGGGACTTGGGCTCTTGGCAAGGACTCCAGGGATTGGACTTTTGGTTGCTCTAACAGCTGTAACGGGGCTTGGGCTCTTTCTTACCACAACTGGACTAGAGGTTTTAGCAGTTGTTACAGGACTAGGACTTTTCACATCGACAATTCGATTTGAGCTCTTGATAACCTGTGGAGGACTGGGGCTTTTAGATATCCTTGGAGTTATAACTGGTGAGGAGGCCTTTGGTACCACAGGTGGACTATTTTTGGTGACCGAAACAGGATTTGAGATTTTCGGATCGACGGTCTTTGGCGAACTGACTTCACGTTTGTGTAAACTTAATGCCGGAGGGCTTGAGGTTTTTGCAGATGGTTCAGGTGATAAATGAGACTCAGGGGCTGAACTCTTTGTGCTAGAAACTACCAGGAGTTTCTCTGAATGGGTCTTGGAGGAAGTGCAAAGCACCATGGATTTGGACACTGGAGCAACAGTTGTCGATTCCTCAACAATGTGGAGTTCCGGTAAAAGTGGTGCGCAATTTGGGGAAGGCTGGGGAGGAACGCTGCGGTCCGATACCTCTGCTTCTGGGATTGAAGGGACTGTGAGGTACTCCGTCACCACAAGATTGGGAAGTTCTGACCCTTTAGTGGATAATGAGTCCTCCTTAACTGACAGAGAGCCAGACTAGACAACCAACAGCAAGACAACAACAACAATAAAAAGAAAGGGAGGAACGCATTTGAGTAGAAACATGAAGGAATGACATGCAAAATGAGGAGGCAATATGACAACATTCAGTCTGATTCATTATCTTACTCTAAAATACGAAAACTATACATAAAAACCAGTGGCCTAATGTAATGCATTATATCTCAACATGTTTTGCTTATTTAGTCAATGTAACAAAATATAAATTGGTTTACCAACATGAAGGCAAATATAATCACCAGAATTCCCAGATATAACATGACACCACAACCCCAGCATTCCAGATTCTCTCTTTTCGACCGCAGTGTGGCTCACATCCAAGATAGAAATGCTAACAAGACCTTCCTAATGGACCCATGAGAGCATGCCCTCATACAGGCATATAAACCCCTTATTCATTTTAAAGGCCTTGAATGATAATAATCTACTGTTTACTATCTGATTATCATTATCAGCACTCACAGACATGCATGATAAACCACAACAGCTGATACCCCCCTACAAATGCAAAACCCAATGACAACTCATTAAAACAACCCTTGTAAAGCTTTAAGGCAGATTATTTGCCAATAAGAATTACATAAGCACTACAAAATAATTTTGCTAATTAAACACTTATTGTCTATTTCAAACACACATTATAAAACGGATAGTCCCGTCCTTGATTCTGATTGACTGAGCCGTGTTCGAAGCTGTTGTAAATTACACTACAAACATACACCTTTGTTTACTTCTGTGTGTTGCTCGGCAACCAATTGTTGGAACCACAACTGTTTCTGAGGAACTACATTGTTTGGTGGAAGAGACAACGCAATGAATTACTGTTTAGGGAGATTGTTTGAAGGAAACAAGAAAAATAATGTAATTTTTCTCTCTGTCTCCAAGACTTACATTGCTCTGAACTTTAAAGTCAGACAGTGAGGCCATGAGTTCGTCGAGTTCTCGTGTCGCCGAGGAGGCGGAGATTCTGGCCTGCTGTTGGCAGGGGGTCTCCTCCTGAACTTCTCTCAACTCAGGAACCACTGGCACTGCAGGGGCGGGTCTATTAATGTCACAAAATTAAAAATGAGATATAAGAAAAGGTCTAGATCACAGATAGGGAACCTAGTAAAGTTTTCACTTGTTCACATGTTTTCAGCTGGTGGTTGAGGAGAGACCCCCCCACATGATTGTAAAGTGCTTTGGGTGTACAAAAATACACAATAAAGCGCTATATAAATGCATCATTCATTCACATCTTTTCAGCTAATTTAAATATCAGTGTTTACTAGAGTTAAGTCCAAAAGAGCACAATGAAAATCTGGGTTTCAAAGTCTAATTTAAACTAAAAAAATAAACTAAGATTTAGGATTTACATTTTTTTTTTTAACATCATTCAATTTTCTGAAGTTATGACAGAAATATTAAAATAATATTTTAAAGAATATTTCTACTCATTAAAAGCGGTAAAACAAATATAAAATATTAAAATTATAAAATAAAAATATTAATAAAATATACTCTAAGAAGTTTGGAATAAATTACTTTTTTTAAAAAAGGTCTCATGCTCATCAAAGGTGCATTTATTTGATCAAAAATACAATAAAAACAGTAACATTGTGAAATATTATTTTTAATTATTAAATATTAATTTAACTTTTCTATTTGAATATATTTTAAAATGTAATTTATTCCTGTGATCAAAGCTGAATTTTCTGCATCATTACTCCAGTCTTCAGTGTCACATGATCTTCAGAAATCATTCTAATATGCTGATTATTGATAATAAGAAACATTTCTTATTGTCAGTTGAAATTTTTTTTTGTTAATAATCGTTAGTAACTGATAATATTAAGAATCATTATTAATAATTGAGCACCAATAATAACTGAGCAGCAAATCAGCATATTAGAATGATTCTGAAGGATCATGTGACCATGAAGACTGGAGTAATGATGCTGAAAATTTAGCTTTGCACCACAGAAATAAACTATACTTTAGTTTAGTGCATTTATATAAATGCAGCCTTGGTGAGCAAAACAGACTTCTTTTTAAAAACATGAAAAAAAAATCTTAACTATAAAAAATAAATAAATAAATATTTTCAGTAGTGTGCAAGCTTACGCAGGGGCCGGCACGGAGCTCTCCAACTCATTAAGCAGGTTCTCCACACTGGGTGTGACATCTTCTATCCCCCGTCCGGGTGCATTACGTTTGGGTTTCTCTATCTTAGGAGGAGGTGCTTTCACTACTGATGAGACGCCGTTTTCTGGGACATAGCGCTGGGCGTTGCTGGCTGGTTTGGGTGGGTAGGTCTCTGTGAAACACCAAATGGAAAAACATCCATTGGATTTGATATACTGTCAATAATGCGTGTATGCGTACGTGATGCTTGTAGAGCTTTAACAACCTATTAACCCTGAGGTTTGAAGCGCTCACCTTCAGTAGGGAAGGCGGGTGTGCTGTGCTGTACAGCGTTGAGCTCCAGCAGCAGACGGTCCAGCTCTGACAGGTTACTGCCCAGTAATGAGCTCATGACGGCGGCGGGGGAGTCAGTAGTCTTCTGCTTGTTAGGGAAACTATAGACGTGCTCTTCTTCAGACTGTGACACACGAGGACTGGCACTTTTCGGAGCTGAGCTGAAAGACTTGAGGAAAGAAAAAATAAAGTTGCCTTACTTTTACTAAGCACTTTGACAAGAGCAGAAATAGCCAAAATGGGTAAACATTATGAAAAAAAAAAAAAAGTTATGATACTGTACATCTGGGGTCTCAAAGCACTGCTTTATGTAGTCTCTCAAATATTAATGGATTTATTTTTTTAACTTTGTGTAACAAAGGTTGGATGAAAATTTCACCTTTTGTGTGCCGAAACAACAGCATAAAAGTTTGGAATTACATGAGGGTTAACATGAGGGAAAACATTTTTTTATTTTTTTTTGCATGAGGATCAATATATCAGTCCATCCACTTTTTGGAACATGGAACACAATGCATTTTTTGCGATACTGCATAATTTGCCATTTAACCACAAAATAATTGCTAAAAGCACAGTACTACTTCTACATGTTAGTCTGATAAAGAAACATGCATTAATGAGAAAAAGCATGGGCAGTGCTTTAATGTTAATAAAGATTTGTTAAATGCAATTAAGCCACAAAAAAGAACTAAAGCTTTCTGCATTTTTTTCCCTGTCATGCATGACTATTGTGCATCTAGAGTCACATGTAATATGGTAAACGTGGTATCATAATAATAGAAATAACAGCACATTTTTTCACAAAATTCTGGAAATTACAGCCACAAAATCAACAGTCATGTTGATTGCAAAAAGTCACCAAAAGCGAAATCCTGGTGGGACTGATATGTAATGACAGAACATTTATTTTGGGGTGAACTATGCCTTTAAATAATTCCTGTAATCCCATAGAGCCAAAAACATACATTTAAACACCCAAATGTATTCAGTGTGACAGCTATCAAAAGCACCTGATGTCTTTCACAGAATATTTAAAGAAGCTAAGCTACAAACATTAAAATATGACCACCTATATTCACATATCAATGCATTTTCAATATCGAGCAACATAACCCACCCTGATGTGTTAATTATAACAGACATAATTCAAATCAAATTGAACAATATAATACTCCAAAGCAGTCACATACCTAAAAGTTGAAAAGCATATAATAAACTGGGCTATTTAATTATAAAACTGTTGGCCAGTGCATTACGGCTTCAAACAGCCTTCCTCAGAGCACCTAATCGAACCATCTTAAAGGTGCAGCCGCAAAAACAGTCCGATTAATTCTCTCTAGGGCTGTCAAAATGGCTGAAAAACTGAATTCGAATTTTGTACTTAAATATTATCAAAATTCGAATTATATTCGAATTTAAAATGTATAATTTCAGTTATGGTGAAGAAAAGCTTTTGGCTTCTCTCCTGAGGCCACAAGGGGGCGCATCGAGCAAAATATTACTAATGCACTTCTCTCCGTCACTGAAAGTGGAAAATGGTTGTGAAAAACTAAATTATGACTGTTTTTAGTCCAAGAAAGCTCGACTAACATTGTAAGTGAACTTAGATGCCACAAAGATGTATAATATGGCCCCATTCGAGAAACCTTGAATATGTTGAACCTGCTTAATGGCACAAGTCTCTGGAGCAACTGGAGATGAAGTGCTTTGCTCGAGGGCACAACAGAAAGTGGAACAGGCCGGCTTCTGGTATTTGTCATAAGGTTAAAGGATAACCGAGCAGACTCATATAAAGACCAGCAGACAGCTCTGGGGAATAAAGAAACCCTACAGGAAGTAATGGTGCCTTTTACCTGGGTTGATGAGTGCTTCGATTCTGGCTTTTCTACCCAAGATCCATTCAGTGTTTGAGCAGGAGGAGAAGCTACTCGAGGTGGGGAGGACACGTCCTGATATGAGTCACTTCCTGTGGGGTAGGAATATGGCGTCTCTTCTGGCAGAAAAACAGCTTGTTTGGAAATGTGGGAGGTTGTGGACTCCAAATCCGCGAGAAGAGCATCTGTAAAAAACAGAACAATGTAAATATTGGTTTGATTCTCAGGGTTGGTTGGTTTTTTAACGCCACGAATCACATGATCAGGATGGTGAAATCACTGCAGGCTTCACTCATACGGGGTGTGGTGAGAACGACAATCTCACACGTAAAGACTGCTCTGAAACAGCATGCCTACAGGGATAGATTCAGCAGGAAGTAAAGCGCAAAATGCATGTGCATAAACAGACACACTTCTTAATGCACACATAAAATCAATATTCAAAAGCCATAAGCGCATAACAGAAAGCACTTACACAATCCGCACACAACTAGGAAAGCTTGTAAAACATGCTCTTAAGTGACTGTCAACACATCTCTGGTTTAAAAGTCCTTCATTTAGCAATTACTTCTACGATAAGGCACCTTTAGATCTCGGTTGCATCAACATCTTTGCTACCGAGCGTGTCACGCCATGTCTACACAGGAAGTGATTGATGTCACATTGCAGCATGACAGCTCGAGGTTCTGGATAGTGGAAGCGAAGCGACATGTCACCTTTAATATATCTGTCAAACTGAACCAGTGAGCTATGATATGATAAATAATAATACTAATGAAATTCTAAAACCGATCGATATAAAAAAGGACTAGCCTACGTATGGGTTATCGCAGAATAGCAAAATAATTGTATATATAATGTGTGCATATGTTTAGAATAAAAAAATATATATTTAAATCAGTGAGCAAGAAACATGGTTTGAGGATAAAAAAAAAAAGAATCGGAGAATATTAATTCATAGGTAATAAAATTCAGAGGAATTTATAAATATAAAATGCATAAACTTCAACCCAAATTACTTTTCAAACATATAACTCATTAAATCCAGAGAAAATTTATTCATTAATACAGTATAACACACAAAATTCAGAGCAAATAAATCCATAAATTTATCATAAAAATCCTTTCATATAATTATTCCTAAATATATAATGCATAAAGTTCAGAGCAAATAAATTCATAAATATTTAGCTCATAAAATCCAGAGTAAATCAATCCATAAATATATAAGGGCTGATATTCAGAGCATATTATTTGAAAATACATTTAAAAAAACAGAGAAAATTAATTTATAAACATAAAAAAATGTATTGATAAACAAATAATTCATCAAATTCAGAGGAAGTGAATACCGTATTGGCCCGAATATAAGACGACCCTGATTATAAGACGACCCCCCTTTTTCCAGATGTACCTTTTGGAAAAAGGCTTTTTAAAAACCAAATCTTGTTTTTTCTCAGTAAAACACATTTTGTCTTCAATTATTTTCATATTGCATATTTTTCCTATTTTAATTTTTGTTTTGAAAGTATGGTAAAAACTGGTAAAATGTACCAACAATCACATTTAAAAAATATACACTTTTTGATATACCATTAAAAAAAAAAAAAACAGGTAGCCCATCTGAATTAGGACATTTAGGCTATCCATCTAATAGTAGCCTACCAAATTAACTTGTAATCTTATTAACAGTAGAAGTTAAATCTTACTGTAGTCTTCAAATCTGGGTACTGTCTTACGTTTTAAAATCACAAAGGGAGTTTGGTCCCATCAGGCTAACGTGACAGTCACGACTCATGCAGCTGTAAGGTTTTCTTTTTCTTTTGTTTTTACTCGCGATCTTTACAACACGCATTACATTACGTATTTCATGGCACACTCGTTTTATGTGTATTTGGCGCCACCTAGTGTTGTGGGTGTATTATTGACATGTCAAAGTCTAGACCCTGAATATAAGACGACCGCGTTTTTTCAGATGTATTTCCAAGAAAAAAATATCGTCTTATATTCGGGACAATACGGTAATATACAAAATTCAGGACATATTAATTCAGAAATACATGACACAAAATACAGAACAAATTGGTTTATAAATATATAACACAAAAACAAGAGCAATTAATTCATATATAATTAAACTTATATTAAAAATATTTCAGACAAATGTGAAAAATAAAGTAGCTACTGTAGAGTTCCCATGAAGCACATTAGGTGTCTGTCAAATGAAGCATCGGTTGTCAGTGTTTGGGATTTGATTGTAATTTTTGATGCTTTTCGACACACCAATCATGTCCAGTGTGGAGATAATGATAATCTAGACGTTAGGTTTATCCTCTACCACACGTTATACAATCCAAACTCACACAAGACGAGTGCAACAAAATCATCAAACTCAACAAGCAACTTGTGTAAGCAGGTAAACTCTGGTCAGTCCACATTGTTAATCACACAATATCAACAACAGTAGATCCCCAACATCACCATTACAGCCACAAACACATGAAGGCCACAATCCCAAAGAAGAAACAACCAGTTAAAGGCAAATAACAGGAACGGAGTGAAGCTGGTTACTTACACTGTGAGCGGGACAGACAGAAACGCCCTGCTGAGCTCTGTGTCTTTACCTTCGCACTTTATCTCAGACAGGAGGAGCTACGACAAGGAGTGGAAAAAACAGATAGGATAAGGATGGATTATCAAAGAGAGATAGAACGATCTAGACAGAAGAGGAGAAGAGAGAGGACAGGGAAAACGGAGCATTTCGAGACAGGACAAGTATCGTAAACTCTTCTGCGTTCAGTAGCAGTGACTGTGGAGTCGTCCGAGGGGAGGGCGGGCGCGTGAAAAACCGTGTTCGGTATTCGACCCAGTGTTTCAGTTTGTTCGGCTTCGGCCATTTCGGTGCATCCCTACTAAAAACAACAATTTCTTGTCACTGAAACACAATGGTTGGAAATCAAAATTCTTAAATGCCCTAATTTTTCCAAGGTTTTATGACCGTGGGAACTCTGGTATTATTTTCTGATAAACATCTTAATATAAGCCAATTCTAAAGAATAAAAGCCTCAAAAACACCTTTGTCTTTGCCTGCTGCCAAATTAGGCCACAAGTTACTGCTGTATAGGAGTAACAAAAACTATAAATAGAAAATGGAAGCATAACTGCATATATTCTTCCTTTTTTTCCATCACTAATAAACTAAGCAAAAATTGAAACCGCTGACCTTTGTTTGGTGTGTAAATATTGCTTTTTTTTTTTTTTTTAGTCAATTGTCCGTTTCTTCTGAGGGAAAGGAAGGGTCATTCCCATTCCAAAGCATTCCCAACATTCCACTGGGCTCGATTATGTATACAGCCAGCAGCTCACTAGATAACATTTTCTCTCAGGGGGATTTGCTTACATAAGCTATAGACACTATGCAAACCCATATATGACCACGTTTTAGGGTCGACAAAAAACACGACGGGGTTAAACATTCCCAGACATTATCTAGAAAGAAAGTCATTCCGAAAATCCTGCAAGAGCGAGCAGAGGACCGTTATTCCTTTGAAAGACTATACAGGATGCCACTTATTCAAACATCGTTTATCACTGAAAACTCATCAGACGATCTCGGCTCAGCTTCAAAAGAGGGACAGTCCACTTAAAATCAGTTATCATCTGTACAAATCAGGTCAATAAGGGCCAGTCATCATGGTTTCTGAAGGTTTTATAAAAAGTTACATTTTTAAGACCAAGTAAAGAAAACGTAAGGAATAAACTGAATGCAACACTTCAAAGTTTAAAAATTCAACTTTCAACCTATTGTCATTAGTTTTACAAAAAGAAATAGCTTATGGCTTGGATAGCTATGCTTCCAACTACTAGAATATGAGAATAAGGTCGTGTTACTCTGCAGAAAACGCCTAGCTGTGAGTGCTTGAGAGAGTTCAGTTACGACTCTATTATCATCTCGAGCATCGAAACACATGCATGCTGTAGAGAAAAAGATGTAATGTCCCTTGAAATGACGCGTTTGTGACAGAGTCAAAATAAGGATGGAAAATTATCACTTTTATAAATGTCAACTTTTTGATGCAAAAAACGTCATAAGCTAACCTCCAAAAATATAATATAGAATCTAAAAAAACATTTTATGACTTTTTTAACCAGTTAGCTCTATGCTATTGCTAAGCGAGCTTGTTAACCAAACAACTTGATCGACCACTACATTTTTCTATATTGCGGTATATACGTATATGTATATGTGTATATATATATATATATACACACACATACAGTGCAGTACTACTTAAAATTGTCACAGTGATAAATTTTAGTTTTGGCAACATTATTATGATGTAGGGCTGTACGGTAGGATGATACAAATCCTGGCCACGATAGCATCTATTAACCAACCTTTTTTTAGTGGTCGACCGATATATCGCCAAGGCCGATATTTGGCATTTTTTTTTAAGCATCGGCCGATAAGTTTTTCTGTTTGGCCGATGCGTTCGAGGCGGGACTTAGGCGGGACTCCCTCTTGTTTGCCGTCGTCGTTAACAGTTCTGTCTAATATGTATAGAAGTCGGTCTAATAATCCGATAGAACAAAGGAATTAAAATGTATACAAAGAGTATTATAACGATTGCTTTTATATTATTAGTAATAGAAAAGCAAACATTATAATACTTTCTCGTTTGCCGTCAGCATTCAGCAAATACGCATTTACATCATTTAAACAAATCTTTGAATGGCTAATGA